TTTTTTATATATTAAAGAAATTTTATACATACATAAAATATGTAAGTAGGTATGTAATGAGAAACATTAATTGAAGTAGATCAACTACACGCAGCAAATAATAAAATTGAAAAAAAAAAAAGAAATACAAACTGAAATTTTCACGGGCAATAGCCATCAGATGCTCAAATTGGTAATTAGATTCACATTTTATGAGCTCATCGAATCAGAAAAGAAACATAAATATATGTACATGCATGTACATATAAATATATATACATTATCTGACTATTGTTATTTTAACTTTCTCTTTTTTTAAATTTTAACTACAAACTGTTTTTGTTCAATGTTTTCTCCTCTTTATTTTGTTTTTAATTTGAAAGTTGTTTTAGGTGCAAATTGAATATCAGATTTTGTATATTACTCAAATAATGTTTAAAACATTTTGAATTTTTTATTCATAAATAAAAATTTTACGAAATAACTTTAATTAATTTTTATACAGCTATTGAAAGTGCATTTGTTTTTATTGATTATTGAACAATGATAATTAGGCGGAAAATTTATTGATTACATATAATTTACATATGCACCAAACCGCCAAATTTTATGCAAATTTTAATATTATAGTGTAAGAGTAAGTGCAATAGAAAAGTAAAAGTCTTTGAAATTATTATTATTATTTTAATTACTGATAATTGTTGTTCTATATTAGTTCAAATTTTCTAAAGATAATTTAATAAACATATAGAATCTTACCAAGATTCGAGAGCACTGCAAACTTTTAACAAAAAACAAAAATATGTAAGTAAATAACGTCTACTTACTTATACAGAAAATTAATTAATACAAAACGTCAGTGTATAACATGCACAAATTAAATAAATTGTACTAGTTTTTTTTTGAAAGATTTACTTTAGAAATTTAAAGTCAAATTTTTCACTTTAATGTAAGCATCACCTCTACTTTTTTCTTATGCTATTAACTGTAATTCATTACTTTTTATACCATTTCTTACTTTGCTTAACAAAAATATTTCATTCACCTTTACTCTGATTTTTAAAATTTTTATTTTTATTGTTTTATCGTTATTCATTCTAAAAAAATTTTGAAAACTAAATTAAACGATAAAGTATTTAAGTACAAAATAGTGAATGCAATTCAATTTGCATGAATGTTGAGTACATTAACATGTTTGTAATATTAATTAAGGCCTAGTTTTACTTTTTATTGTTTTTTATTAATTTGGTTGACTAATGAATACTTATTAATATTTAACTATTTAAAAAATTATCCAAAGTTTTGTAATTAATTGAGAAGGAAAAACTAGTAGTGCTATAAATTTGGGGAGGAAAGGTTTGAATAAATACCATTGAAATTTAATATGTGCACGATAAATGTATGGTGGTTTTCATTAAATTTCAATTTCATTAGCCATGTCAGATGATCTGGAGTTTGATATTGAAAATACATAGTCGATAGTCAAGTATGCTCAAACCTAATTTTATATATGCATTTACTTACATGATATCCAAATTTCAATGCGTTTGAATGCTGTATTAGACACGGTAAATTCAAAAATATGTTTACAAATCTAAGCTGCCATTATTGTGATACATATGCAATAATATAATTTAGCATAATGAAGTGAATTTGTACATATACTTATACTTAATATTAAGTTAGATAATTGTTTTAACTTTCATGAAAGAATAAGAAAAATATTTAATACATTCTTATTGCTGGAAAAAAGATACGACCGGAAACCTAAAATGAATAATTTCAATAGTAATGCGGGATAAAATATTTCATTATGTCAGCAACAATCACTTTATGATTTTAATCATAACAGTATTTTATTGTTATTCGAGTAATTTTTTTCATAACATTATCTACGTTCCAATACTGTACATTATAACATACATTTATGTCTGTACATAAATGAGTTTGCACTAATACTTTTTAATAAATATTGTATGTATACATTATGTATGTAATGTTGTTCAACAATTTTCTTTTCATGATAAAAGTTTTAATCTGTTAAGTTGGTAGTTTTAGGTGGTCAATTAGTTGTAAAGTAATTAACGTCAGAGATTGTGTTTTGTTTCTTTCGAGTGATTTCTTATGTCGGAAAAAAAAATCGCTTAAATGATTTTTACCGACCGTATTGTGTAAATAATAGGTAGGTTATGTGATGGCAACAAATTTTGCATATCGAGTTTTCGGTGGGAACGTACTTCTCCATAGTAGGGAAGTGTAAATAAACTATTTTTAGCAACCTGTCGGTCTGTCGGTCTGTCGGTCTGTGTGTGCACGCGTGTATCTCAAGTTCGGCTGAACCGATTTTGATGAAATTTTATATGTAAGTTTGTTTCCACCATGGCACGGATCGATCAACTTTTGGTATATATCAGGCCTCGGGAACTGCACTTTTTAGCGGGCCTGTTTTACATTTTTGAACATTTTGAAGAAAATATTCAACCGATTTACTTGAAATTTTATATATAAGCTCAGCTCGATCGTCCGCAAAAATTCGTATGTTTTGAAAGAAATCAGACATCGGCAACTAGACGTTTACTACGGGCCAAATATACATTTTTGTGTATATAAAGAGAAAAAATCAACCGATTTCATTGAAATTCAATATATGAACAATGAACATATAAATTTTTTGGAAAGATCAGGGCTCGAAAACGGATTTGCGGGCCGATTTTACATTTTTCACCATTTTGAAGAAAGTATTCAACCGATTTACTTGAAATTTTATATATAAGCTTTGCTCGATCATACGCAAAAATTCCTAACTTTTGGAAGAAATCAGGCATCAGCAACTGGGCGTTTACTACGGGCCAAATATACATTTTTGTGTATATAAAGAGAAATAATCAACCGATTTCATTGAAATTTAATATATGAATTCCCCGTATTAAAACAATGAACATGTAAATTTTTTGGAAAGATCAGGCATCGGCAACTAGACGTGTACTACGGGCCAAACATACACTTTTGTGTATATAAAGAGAAATAATCAACCGATTTCATTGAAATTTAATATATGAATTCCTCATATTAAAGCAATGAACATATAACTTTTTTGGAAAGATCAGGGCTTGAGAACTGATTTGCGGGCCGATTTTACATTTTTCACCATATCCACAGAACAAATTGATGGAATTTCTTGAAATTTGATAATTGAGTTCTGGTTGTTACCGAAACTAACTGGCGAGCATTTCAGGGAATTCGGGTAGCACAAAGCGAAACTCTACTAAGAGCCAAATTTACATTTTTCTAAGTATGTTAACTACTCGTATAAGCTTACTAATGTCCTAAAAATTGGAAAGAAGTATTTAACAGACATTTTTATAATATTCTGTAACACTTTCATTTAACTAGACAATACACAATGCGGTCGGTTATGTGCTGACCACATCAGATTTTTTTTTTTTGTATTTCTCTTTTTCAATGTAGATTTACTATAGAAATCTAAATTATTAAAGACTTACCACAACAAAAGCTTATATTCGTTATATTTATAGAGTTATTCGATTTTAGTTGTATGTATTTTAATTTTTTAACATAACTCGTATTGTAGTACTTGTATTCCTAATATACTTGTATACAAATATATACGTACGTAATTTTCTCTTATTCAATTTGAGCACGCCATTATTTTTCATTAAATTAATTATTTTCTGTTTTGTTTTTGATTCATTTAATAAATATTTTTCATGTTTGAGTTACAAGAAAAATTGAGATTTGATTTAAAACTATGTATGTATGGTTATGTATGTGTATAGTAAATAGTGAAATTTTGTTCGAAATTAAGTCGAAAAGATAAAACGATTTATAGTATGAATTGAAGAAGTAACACTTTAATATGGTATTTTAATAAAACATAATATATATTTCTTTATAAAAATGTGCAGATTTTAAATATACACTAATATGATGGACACATGTAAATAATAATACGTATACACATAGATATAAAACTACATTGCATTGCAACTCTTACAAGTGCGTAGATATTTTAGTTTCCGTATAATTTTAATTAAATATTATGCCATACAATAATTCCATTAGTAAATTGATACATACATACATATAAATTTTTAATTTACTAACCCAGGTAGAAAAAAATCGTTTAATTGTTTGCGAAATTTTACTATCTATATGTGTATCTGCAAGACATATTTTAATTTCAAAAAGGTACACATACAAAGTACACATTCATATAACGTAAAGCGTGTAATTCGATTTTAACTCTTGAAAGGTCATTGTCTCAATTTTTTAGTGCTAGCCGTTTCATATATTGGTTATAAACTAATAGAGACGAAAAAATTTTTTATAATTTGTATTCATCAATGCTAATTATGAAATATTTTCCATTCTGAACTGTTATAATGTTTATGTACCAATAAACAGACTAAAAAATTTACAAAAATTCTTTTTATTTAGTTTTGCAAAATTACTTATTAAATTCAACAGGACTAAATTACAACAATTGTATAGAAATGTACTTTTATAAAGACATAGGACAAATTTTACGTAAATAAAATCAAAAATTTTTCTAAGAATTTTTTTAATTCCTTTCGGCTAGTGTTTATTTTTGAACATAATTGTCCATAACATTGGCAAAGTATAGTAGCATTAAATACGAGGGAAATTTTTATTGTACAATGTACATTTTGCTTTTGATTCATTGTTCAGCTTTTGTAAATTTTATTTAATTCTTTTACAAGGCTTTTGATATAAAAATTATTTTCGGAAATTTTTTTTTTCAAAATATATAGACACAGAAGAAATTTCTTTAATTTTTAATATGGTTTATTTATTCAAGAATTTATAATTTATTATTATGGTGATTTTCTTCTGAATATCCTTAAAATAAATAACAATTTTACATTTTGCAAATATACACAAAAAATTAAAAAAAAAAAATTAAAAAAGGCAATATAACAAAATTAATAAAAATCTGTTTCTCTTTTTTTTTCATTTAATCCTTTCATTTAACAATTCAGGTGCTCAATATTTTCAATTTAATTGAAAAAGGAAACAAAAATTGAAATTATAAAAGAAGAAAAATAAAAAAAAATAAAGAACCAATAACAAAAACACTAAAGGTAGATAAAATGAAAATAAAAAAAATGAAATCAGAGAAAAACAGGTCCTTTAATCATAATAATGAATGTATAATGAATTGTTCGATACTATAACGGTAAAAATTGAACAGTTGTATACTTAGCATGTGAGAAAAATTTGATCTGTAACGGTGTATTTATTTTTTTTTTTTCGCTTTTCGTTATTATTCTCGCATTTGTTGTTGATTTTATTTTTGTTGTTGTTTTTTCGACTTTTTTACGTTGTCTCTTATGTTCCGTAATTAAAATTTACGTCAAATGACAAAGAAAAATAAGAATAGCGTAAAAAAAAATAATATGAAAAGCGTGTGTGTTTTTGAATTTTAATAACAAGAATAGCAATAACTAGAAAATAAAGAAATATAACAGAAAAAAAAAATCATAAATAAATAATTAATACGAAAAAAAATATGAAAAAATCGAATGAAATCAACGTGTGAAAAAAATAATGTTATACATGAAAAAAAGAAAGCAAATAAAAAAAAAAATAAATAAATAAAATTGGTTATAAGTTCTGCTCTAAATAAATTTTTTAATATTAAATCACAAAAATTAAAAATAAAAGTGGTATAAAAATAAAGAATAATTATAATCGATTTGATTACTTACCATTAACATGGATTACTCGTTATCATCAGCATTAAAAAAATGGATTTCAATTGTAATTATTATTTCAACAATTGTGATAAAATCAGGTAAAATATGTTTTTATTTTATTTAAATTTATCCATTTTAAAAATTTAATTATTTTGTAAGCTTTTTTTTTTCATTATTTTTTTTTTTATTATTTGTGGAATTTCCGAGTTATATCCTTGCATAATAATAAAATAAACAGAAAGGGTCGGACTTATAAAAATCTAGTAATTTTTCAAGCCTAAATTTTAAATCTAAAATTTTTCAAGCCAAATTTTTTGAGAAAACTGTTCATATATGTTCAGTAGAAATTAATTATTGCTTTATTATGACACTCAATAAGAGTTGGTAAATAAACTAAACTCTTTTTTTGGTTAAATAAACCTTCAGGTTTCGAAAAATAGAAACGAGAAGTCTATTAAAAATTAATAATATCTGCCTTATTCTGGATTTTAATAATGCCGTCTCTGTATATATACCAAATTCCATTTAAAAAATAATTTTATTTTTCAAGTTGTATGACAATATAATTTTTAATTAATTTTATTTTTATGTATCTACCCACACATGCATTCAATGTCCTATACATTTTATATAAATAAAATGTATAGGACATTGAATATAGCGCCCAATTTAGTTGAGGATTTCAGGATAAAAAAATTTTTTTTTTTTAATTTCATTTTTATTTTAAAGTATGCATATATATACAATACACATAACCTATTTATAGTTTATCCTAAAAGATAATTGTTGTATGTTAGTTTTTTTGCATTTTCAAATTCGATATTTTATCTCGATCGGTAGTCGACTTTCTATTTTGAATTCAAGATAATATACTACATCATATAAGTAAATCCCAATTGAACAATAATAAATGTAGTTTTGTGAAAGTATTGTCGCATTTATTTCCAAAAAGATTATGGTTCCAAAACCCGGTACGATGGGTTATCACTAACTAGGGCGGTATCCAACTGTTTGAAAAATGTAAATTTATGTCATAAGAATAAACTGTTTCTACTTGATTTGCTTTTCAATATTAAAGCTCGAATATCTTTAAATACAGAGCTTATCAAAATATCATTAAATGAAACATTCACGTTTTAAAGATTTTTAATATTTGTAAAATATATATGTAATATAGAACATGTCTGCAAATGTTTTCAAAAATTTTATAAATTTGTTTCAAACGAACCTTAATTAACATGAATAGTGCGACATTATTTAAATGTTCTGCATTTTCATTTTGTTGAACAGAGTCATACAAATTTCATTTTGTTATTTAATTTTTGTTTGAAAAAATTATTTAAATAAAAAATGTTAGTGTATGTATGTGCATGCATATGTCCAATAATAATTAACTAAAAATGAATTAAAACTATTTTTTAGCCTACAAAATTGGAATTCTCGATTGAAAATTTAAATATTTTTTTTTGTTATTCAACGGGGTGGATTTGTCAGTTTTTTATTCAAAATCCCCTAAACTACGTAATTATAGTTAGTTGAATTTTTCGAATGATTAAAAAAAATAATTAATAATGAAAATCCTTGTAAAAAAAGCTTGTTTTGCTTTTCATTATGTTTTCAGAAAATAGTATAGTCTACATCCCTTTAAGGAATATGAATTAAAATATTTTACATTCTTACATAGTTTTTACAATCTCCATATTTCTATATATTATGTAAAATTTCTCTAATTATTCTGAATCTGCGTTTTTTATCTAAAATATGCATTCATTTTATTCATATATGGAGATGCGTTGCAAACAATAATTGTATAAGCAAATGTAGCATAATTCTTGAAATTTGATTTTTTATGAATAAATGTGAATAAGCCTATAGTTGTGGGCTCTTATGGGTTTTTTATAGAATGCATTATATGTGAATTGTAGTTTGAATAATAATTTTAAAATTATATTTGATAAAATAATTAATTTTATATTCATTTATATTTGTAGTACCAGGAAATAAAAGGAAAAGATAATGAACGTAATTTCAACGCCCAATTTTGGCGTACAATTAAGTTCAATGAGTTATAAAACTTTATAATATATATTATATTTAGCTAAATATATATATGCATATATATTATGTTATTTATCATTGTAGCACCTAAAATTTTGAAAAGGGAATTTTATATTTTAAAATCAGATACTGTTCTAAATTTGACTGTACTCAACTCTTACATTAATTTATACTATGATAACAAAATCTAAATGTGCAAAAGGTGTACATATAAGTCTCGCGTAAAATCTTAATCTAATAGTAGGCAAATTCTTTGCAGCGAATATTTTTCTTGTAGAAAATTTTCTTACGGTATATACAAGTATCACAGTATCAGGTGAGAAATATATACTGCAAACGTATATTATTAAATAGAATTTTTCCTGAACTCCTCTAAAATATGCCGAGAAATAAATTTAATACAAGAAATTTGTCAAAATTCTATTTTAATTGAAATATTTTGCATTTGAAAAAAGTTTTGCATCTTGTGGAAAAATTGATCAAAAAATAATTTCATAACATGAGTCTCAGATAGCATATTGGCATAAATATTATGTTTGTCCCAAATTGCTACCATAATTTTTTGTTTGCTTAGATTAATCAGTAACATTTTTATGTCATATAATTTTTTTAATATTACACTGGTATGTAGAAAGCAGTTTTGGTAGTAAACAACATAGTTTTTATTGATGCAGAAGAACTCAAATTCTTTCAATTATTGAATTAAACCATTTATTAAGTATTGTCTATCCATTAAGTATTGATTTTTGTACCTTTTAAATATTGAAATATTTAAAAAAAGTGCTTTAATTTCATTTTCCCAATTCATAGGCAAAATTAATTTCTATATTCCTTCTTAAATTTTATATAATTTAAAATTTTCAAATAATTATTGAATTATATAAAAAAAAATTTTTAAATTTAAATTTTTAGCATACAATTTAGTCAAGAAATTTAATCGGTAAAACATAAAATTTAATTATTAGAAAAAATTTTGAATGCATAAAATTACTTACTTAAATTTTCAATTGTACTCGTATATAAAACTTAAATAATTTTTATGGTTTGAAGTGGATTACATACAGATTGTATGGAAATTTTGAGGACCTACTTAATGTCATTGCAGATTACAATATTTGATAAAACTTCAAACTTCCAATACTGTTTAATAAAAAAAAAACTCTCAAAATAGAATATTATTTTCCTGTAACTGTAAAATTTCAGTACCTGATCCTTTTTATAGCAATTACGTGTATTAAATGTTAATTTAATGAAACAATTGAAATATTTGGTTTTTTGTTAACAATATTAAATTTTTTTTATTGCATGTAAAATTGTAATTATTACTTTCAGTGTTACAAGTAATGCTAAAAATATAATTATTCTGTTTAAAATTTAATTCAGAAATAAGCTTTATTTCTCTTTTAATTCGATATATAGGGTTTTATAAATGAAAGATTCTTACAACCCACTAAAACTCCTAAATTCTTTAGCCATAATTTTAGAAAAATTTTAATGGGGCTACTAAATATTATAGATAAATGTATAAATATAGATAAAATCTGTTGAACATCATACTTTCAAAATACTATCATATACAAATTAAAATATATACATTGAGAAAAATCTAATAAATTCATTGCAATATGTTCACAGTCCAAAAATATGGAAGATCAAATATTAAAAAAGTTAAAGCTGGTAAAAATTTAGATTCCGGACTTGTTTTAAAACGTTTTTTTCCATGTCAGAAAATCAGACCTTTTATACTTAAACAATTTTATGATTAATTCAGTGAATTTTTTGTAATTCTACACAAAACATGATCATAAAATCTGCCTGCTGCTTGAATTAATTAATATTATATTTTTTATTAGAAAAATTATATTTAAAAAATTTTAAATATTTTTCTCCTCTTTAAATTTCTGAAATAATTTAAATGATCCTTAAATATTTTAATGTTATATTTAATATTTTAATGCATTCTATATCATATTGCAACAATAACGTACTATTTCAATTATGTTATCAAAATTTTAATTTAAAATCAATACCAAAAAAAAAAAAGAAACTGAAATCCAATAGAAATTAATTTGACTTTTAACAAAAATTGAGTTAATAACAATAAATAAGTATATAAATAGTACAATTAAATTAATGGAATTGAAAATTGCAATTATTTTTGTTTATCTTTTATTTTCGCATAATAAAAGTTTGGGACAAAAAAAAATAAATAATATTTTCAACAATTTTTTTATGTTCTCATTGAAATTTTGGAATTTTGTTATGGTATTCTTTTCCAGTTTAGAATTAAATAATTACTATAGCATATTTGTTAATAAATAATATTCAAAATTAATATTTTGATATGAATGTATAAAAATTATGTCAAGACCTAATAAATCAATAGATTTTTAAAGATTTAGTGTAAGAGCTTAACTATGTTTTGTCATTAAATGGAAATCATAAACAGATCTATTATGCAACGCGATTGAGAAGTTACTGCGAAAAAATAAAATTTACCCTAAGGTCAGCTAGAATTGAAAACAAGTAAATTTTTATCATAGTTATGTAGGTATTTTGTTTTTTTTTTTTATAAAATACCTTTTTTGTTATTTTTAAAATTTAATAATATTTTTTTTCATTATTTATGGTTTGAATTGATTCCGGAAAATTTATTCAAAGTTGAAGCTTTCTTTCAACATATTTTTTTTTCGCCAATTATGATAATTTGAAATTCATGTTATTAATATTACAATATAATGGTATTCTTTTTTTTTGTTATTGTATAGGGATATTGGTAATATAATTTTGTGGTCTGTTTAATCCTGAATAGTGTCCTTTGTATTATATTATTATTTCAAATGTTATTTTCTTTATATACGAAAAAATATGCAAAATATTCAGAAAAATTAATAAAAAAATGAAAAAAAAAAATAAATAAATATTGTTATAGTAAAAAAAAGTCTGAAAATTCGTTGGAAAAAAAGAACCTATAATAAAAATAATAAGTAAATAATGACATTATCCATAATGAAATCCAATAAACATTATGCAATACAAT